TAACTATGTAAAATGATTATATAAAATTAATTATAAGCGGTGTAACGCGTTATTTGATGTAACCGCCTTGGTGTAGCTTTTATACAAGATAGTTACTGGGTAAATAATAGCGCTAATAAATCCGAGAGAGATATACAATGACATTAAATGCTTTATATAATTCAATATGTTGTAAATCCATTTAATTTACAATAAATGAAGCACGAAATATGTTGTGTTAAAAATATTTCCAGTAAAAAATCCACACAGCTTACAGATCAAAACAAATTAAAAAAATAAAAATGAAAATTTCTTTATTCCAGTAACACCATCATTACACGGTACTGGAAAAGTCAGTTATACAGATTCAGTTATACTTATTCCTATTGTAACAAAAATTGAATATTATAATTCATGAACTGATAATGTTACTAAGGGTTTAGTCACAGGTATTAGTTAACCTACTTTATTAATTTAGTAAAATAAAATATTCATTCCTCGATGGATAGATATTAGTAAAAGTAAGAAGGAATTTTTTAACAATAATAACATTATATAAATAGTCCTAGTAGGTCAGCCCAATGCATTTATTTGTTTGATACCAAAAGGAGACCACCACCAGGTGGCCAGTCTAATTGAGTCTCTTTAAGCTAGAGACGGCTGGGAGCTTTTGCTAGTTTAAAATAGATGGCAGAAAAAACTTAATGAAAGTTGTCATTTTTATTCCACCCTATATTGTTTTAATTGGATTTAAAAATATGTCAAAGTAAAGAAAACTGATTTTCGTAATATTGTTAAGAGTTATTGCTCCGCTGACCGCTGACAATAGCAAGAAATTTGTATAAATAGTCATTTTGATTTAATCCTAGAAGACGCAATTTTAAAAATAATACCCTAATTTTTTTATTTGCAAAGAGAATAAGTGGCACTAGCCCCGGGTTAGCATACTTTTTTGAAAAAATGGCCCGTTTCGTAAAAAAAAAAATTATAAAGTTTATTAATTTTTTTAAAAAAAGGGCAACTTTTAATGGAAAATTAACATTATCAAACATGCATTATTCGTTGAACGATGAGGTACTCTTAAGTTGTAGTAAATCATTTCCTTAACAAGATCAAAAAATAATTTTTAAAATGGGACGTAATATAAAGTCATAATTATTAAACCAGCAAAGTAAATTCGGGTATAAAAATGATTGAAAAATACGACTACAATCATTGCGTTCGGTTTGCCACGTTCCTTTAACTCCTTTAACACTTTTAACTCCAAACGACTCTTTTAGCGTTCGGTTTAGTCCGATTAGTGACAGTTTAACACGCTTAAATGTCATTTAAAAGCACCCTAAAATTTGTCCCGCTCCAGCCCCTGACTGACCGAACTCGCCTTTTATCCTTTCTCAAGACGTTCGTACCGAGGGATAGGCGATATTGTCTTCCTCGTCTACCTAGTATTGAAAATTGGACAGATACGGAATAAGGGGTACATATAGGATAGATCTGAAATGTAGTATTGCTCGATGGTGCAAAGTGGGAATATTTATTATGAGATAATTTTGTTTTTAATATAGAATTTTCAATATTTCATTATATTTAAAAAAAAGTGTTTGATTAGAAAAAGTTAGGTTAATTAAAGCATTATATTTATATAATGGGTATATATTTTCTAAAATAATTCATTGTCCCAAGAATATCAACTAAGCTACTAAAATAATAAAATCTATAAATCAGCCTTTTAACAAATGTTTCACAATATATTAATTTACATATTTTCTGACTTATCTGTAACAAAAAAACGTGGAGAAAATACATAGTTTTCCTTCAATTTTTTTTTTATTTTGTTACTGTCTGCTGTTAAAATGATGTGATATTTTTTTGCAGAAAGATGTCTTCTTTTTAACTTAAAATAAATAGAGAAAGCAGATGACTTAATTTTTTGCAATTTTTATAATACTTACGAATGCTTTTATTCGCAACTTACGCTATAAGTTCAAGAAAATTAAATTTAAAATTATTTCGGTCTGTACTGGTTGAAACTGAAAAAGATCTTATGTAATTAATGTTTTATAAATTAACTGAGTAAACAGAACCGTTGTGTTTTATTACTCTCCGCCTTTGATTGGCCCGCATTTTATGATGCTGCCGTTGAATGATGTAATCATATATTTGTTGTTGTCAATTTTGAGATATATTACATGATACGAGTTCGCGCATGACGTATTGTGGTGTGGAATATGAATGATTGGCCTTGAGCTGATTAAAATTTATTTTTGCGCGCTATTTTCGATCACCACAATATGTCGCCACGATGTAGTATTAATCGGCGCAATATAATGGTCTCCTTATATTATCATAGATATATATTACAAGTTTTCTCTTTTTCACTTCAACGATCTTATAAACAGACTGGGATGAGGTATGCGAATTCTTTTCAGTTAAAATCCTAAATTCTTACAAGGTTATGAGTTTCTGCTTGTAAAATAACTGAATGATTTAATAGAACAAACAAACGAAGTTACGTGATATTTTATGAACCCTGACATCGGATATTTAAAAATATTTGAATTAAATCAGAGACAATGACAAACGAGGACAAAAAATGTATTCTTTTATTCGATGAGATGGCAATTAAGAAAACCATCGAATATAATAAAAAATTAGATGTCATTGAAGGGTTTGAAGACAAAAGAAAGCCAATTTTTGCTGGACAAGCTTTAGTGTATTTTCCTAATGAAAAATTCCAGTAGCTTTTTTTCTAACCCAAAACGGTGTCGTTGCTTAATCCCTCGAAACTATTATTATTAAAGGTTTAACACATATTCGAGACTCAGGTTTGGAACCTATAGGGATAGTGTGTGATTTATCTACAGTTAACCAAAAAGTCTATAGATTTTTGGGCATTACTGTAGACAACCCTAAATTTGCCATAGTAGAAAACAATTACTTTCCATTTTTTATGTGCCTGACCTAGTAAAATGGGTTCGAAATAAGTTTTTACAAGAATATTTTATCTGCAATGACAAATTTATCAAATTTGCTGATGTTAAATAGGTTTATGAACTGGACCAACGTAGGAAATCTGGAAGAGCTTTATTAAAAATCAAACAGTCAAAGAATTCAACGAAAACGAAAACGCATCAATATAGACCCAGGAAAGTGTTGCAACCGTTGACAGCAGCAGTTCAGATGAAGCTTTAGACATCAAGGAGTCGGATAATACTTCAGTCGATGATTCAGCTATAGAGTAAGTAGAATATACGATCCACAACTTTTATTACCAAAATGTTTTGTTTTGGTTCATTTGCTTGGGAGCAAACGACGTTCCATGAAGTACAAATATGTCTGTAAAATTCAGTCACAATTTTCAGAAACTGAATATACAGTGGTTGGCTATAAGTCGACAAACCAAGAAAAAACAGTATTCAAGCTTATGCCAAAGGATATATCGACAGTGCCATTATCAGATATTTCTGCCATATTGTCCCGACTAGCAAATGTTGATGGAACTGCTGAGATAAAATTTGAGAAGAAAGTTGATGTGCAGGAACTTTCAAAATGATTTAAACTTTTAAATACCCAAAGAACATTAATAGCCAAATAATAATATTTTACACAGTTTCTAATTTTAAGAAAGTTACTTATTAGTTTTTGTCATATGAATTCTTTGATTTGTTTTGTGTGTAAGTAAATTGTAGTCTAAATCATTCCGATCAAAGTCGCCCTCAAAACAAAATTTGACATACCAAAAGAACTACAACGTCAATTTGCAAACGGGACGATTATGATCACTTTGAACATCTTGTGTGCGTTTTAAACATATTTTTAGGGGACGCCCCATTTCGCGTATAAAATTGATCAGCATGTTTTTATTTTATTTACTCTGTGTTTTTAAAAATATTTATTTTTTAAGTAAATGTTCACACTTTATCAATACAAGCCCTTTATTAGCCATTTTTACAAATTAAGCTCAGTAAAAAATAAACATTATATTTAGAAAATTAAGTTTAAATTATCAAAGTCACCCCATTTTACGGTACTATGATTTGTGGATAACATTTAACAGGTGGCGTGGGATAATACCCTCACTATTGTCCCACAAACCGAATGTGGCAATTACTTTAAAGAAGTTAGAGAAATCATCACCGAACAAAAATTAGGCCTCAGTCTACCCCTTCAGCAAATAAAACTATGAAATAAAGTCACTCAGCAACTTAAGTAAATTTCTAAGTGAACTGACAAAATCCAACCAATTCCGAACACTGATTTGAGTTGGGCAAAGCAATCTACAAACAACCAATATACTTGCTGAACATCTTGAAAGGATATTTCAATCATATCAGAAGTTAGAAGCACATACATTATAAAATAAATGACCTATATAAATAAAATAAAGCAAGCCCTTTACTGTTTTTTGGTTTTATATTTTAAATACAAATCAATCGATAAACTTCGTACTCCCTTTCAGACGAGAGGAGTTTTAGAAGAAATCAAAAACGATGTTAATGAGCTAATGAATCGCCATTGAGCGGAATCGTTGCTTTGGTCCAATCATTACGGATTGAATGGCGATGCTAATGCAATGGCCATAAAGACCGTTCGCGGTGAAAGAGGCCCAACAAACCGTATTGGACCGATCAATTTAGTTAATTGATGAGGTCAACTAACGGTGTCAACGTTGTTATTTCGAAATGAACACGTAGCTGCTCGTTTAAATATTTGAACGTTTAAATTGCTGCGTTGTAGAACATTTAAAAATAAAACGAAATTGGACAAAGTGAAATAAAGTCGTTAGGAAATAGTGATGCAGCGACGCAAGAAGAGAAAGAGCTTCTCTTATCTCATCTCGTGAAGCAAGAGGAAATTGATAACTTACATCATATAGATACGGTGGAATATTAAATGTATATATGATAACCCATCATTAATAAAAACATAGATGTTATTATGTAATGTACATAATTCCCCGTCTTGTACTTTAAAGATTTAATTATAATTTTTGTTATTATATTATAATCATTATTACTCACCAATTCCATATCCCTTGGTCGCCTCCCCCTTCGGCTCCAATGCGAATTTATACACGTGATCGTTGACTTCTAAATGCCTTATGCATCCCTTCATCCCGTTCGAAACGGGCAGCTTCTCCGTTAATCCCGTTGTATTTCCTGGACCGCCGATAAATAATGGTTCCCTAAACGTAATTCTGGAGAAAAGGCCTTTACTTCTTCCCTGCACGTGTTTTCCGTTGTTTAACTGCAACCACGCGTCCCACCGATGCCGGTACAGGGTGATGTGATTCCATTGGTTCAAGAGAACCGTCTCTTCCGAGCGGACCACTCCGACGCCTGAGCCGCAATCGAATCTGAAATTAATAATAGTGCGTTAATAATTTTATCGTTGACCTTTACATTTAATTTCAAATAAAAAAAAAGTTGTTTATAAAACTGTTCTTACAAAATCAGTTGACAAACTCGCAGGTACTGGTTGGATCAGTTCCAGCCCTTAATAATTACACTTAAGGAAATTATTTATCTTCAGATAGAAACCAAATTAATCACCAAAACAAATTTCAAAACCCCTACAAATAATTTAATCGGGAATCTTCTTATTATTGCCGATTTCATTTTGCGAACGTTATAAAACACTTTAGCTGATCAACTATGCACTTATAAACCAATCAGTTCGGAAAGTACTTCAGAGCCTAATATGGACATCATGGCGTTTCAATAAGCCCTCGTTACGATCGTCCAAGTATCCGAAGGATGGGAGAAAAGGTCAGAAATGGAAAATAAAAAAAATAAACATAAATAAATTTCCATCGCTCTCTCGTTGACTCTAATTATACTTTTCTCGAGAGACGCAGTTATCGAGTTTAAGGTCAAATATCGTCATCATTTATTTATCTTTGTCTTAAGAACTACAAACCAATTAGTCAGGCTGTTAATTGACAGCGGGATTTATTGTTTCGTCTACGTTTTCGTTTTTCTTTAAGTAACAATGGAGCAGAGAAAAGCAGCTGGAGAATTCATTAGCAGCGTCTTGGAAAGATGGGAAATTATTTATGTATATTCTTTTATCGATTTGAAAAATCATAATAATTACTTATCCAATACTCAAGCCGTTAAAGAAAAATCAATAAAAATCACAACAAATTGGAATGTGAAATTTAATACACGTCATTCATGACGTAAATTGGTACCATACACATCATTTTAATGAAATTCGAAAGAATAGATTTTCTTTTTTAAAGATTAAGTATTAAAATTTATTTTTTCATCACAGTAGTAAATGTACCATAATAAGTAGGTTTTTAACAAAATAATTTTAACAAATTTCAAATTGTCAAGTTGACATCAAATCATGAACTGTCAATTTAAAAATTTAAGGATATTAGTTGTTTTCTTTTTACAGGCATATTTGACTAACTAAAAGTTAGATTCTGATCTAAGCTAAGTTGTAAAAAGAACGCGAATTTTTGGTTGACAGGTGACGTGTCCCATGTCATCCGATTAAAAACAATCGACATTTTTATCAAAGGACCCCGCAATAATCTTATGGAAATTGGGTTTCTGTCAAATTGTCTGAATTTTTGGTATGTTGTAGATTTTGTCATCCTGAACAAAAGTCTCCATGGACACAAAGTGCCAAAATGAATATTTTGGCATCTACGGAGCTGCCAAAGCTCCCCTGACCCGTTGCAAAACTATTAATTTTCAACACTATTTACAGATGTCAAAAGCATATTTTAATTATTCTAATATATAGGATAATGTTTTTGAGGTCACTGGATTCAAACCTCATGTCAGATTGGACAAATTGACCGTTGACAGCTGTCAATTCACGGTCAACGAGGAATATAAAAGTAAATATCCTCTTTTCACATTGAGAGTTTGAGTTTTTGAGTTCGCTGAATTCAGTTCTCATGTCAGATTAAACAAATTGACAGTTGACAGCGAAAAGAGGATATTTACTTTTATATTCCTCGTTGACCGTGAATTGACAGATGTCAACGGTCAATTTGTCCAATCTAACATGAGAATTGAATTCAGCGACCTCAAAAATCCAAACTCTCAATGTGAAAAGAAGATATTTACTTTTATATTCCTCATTGACAGTCAATGGACAGCTGTCAGTGTGAATCAAACACTTCAAATCATATTTAAAAAAAATCAACTTTGGGGTTGATTTATTAATTATAAAACCTCTCAAAAGTGTCTGCCTAAATTACTAGTATTTTTAGAATTACTTAAACTTTCAATTGTTGTTTGTTGGCCTCTGAATCAAACACTTTTTTTGGGTCATATTTTACGACCCCTTTCTATTATGCGCCAGTACCTGGTGTCCCGGGGTGGGTCTAGCCAACACAGGTATATCTGCTTTTCCATACAAATGATTTCAAATTATAAAATTTCAAAGTGCATCAAACACTTAATGAAATTTGTGTTACTAGCTCTTGGACTTATTGCCTTTCTGAACCTTTTTATTATATTTAGTCGTTTGTATGTGTAGTCCTTTAGGTGTCCAAATCACAAAATCACAATAATTTATTTTAGAAATGCCCTTGCACTTGATAAAAATATTAGTGATTCTTTTTTTATGACAATCAGAATATGGGGATTGGACCAAAAATGCCTCAATAAAATGTGGTAAAAAAATACAAAAACTCAATGAGAAATAGTATATATAAAACAATAAGTCGCACAGAAACAACACTAGACAGAATAAAAACACGTAAAATGACTGGTGTAGATATGGCAATAGTGCATAACGAGAACGCTCTATTTCCAAATAGCATCTAGTGAGTATTAGCGAAAGTTTTTTTACAGTTTGAATTCCAGTAGAGAGGTTAATAGTTTTCTATATTCATAAAATATGAACGTATTGCTTGTAGAGCCGTCTCGCGTTCGCGAAACGAAAAAAATGCGAGTCTATTTAAACCTTAACTCTCTTAAAAAAATTCTGGAAGAAAATCCAAAATTTCTAGGAACGTTGTTGATTAAAACCGGTCAGAAACCTTTGGGAAAGCAGACGTTATTATCTCCGGCCTTCGAATACGACCCGGGTCAACTTTAACCCCCCCATCAAAGCCCTTCCATATCCATCACTGATTACAATTACCTTTGTGACATTGGCATATATATCAACCCGGCGCTCGGCGAACATCTATCCCGAATACCAATCCCGTTACGATCAACTTATGTCGACGATACGCGATACGTTCTGGATACGAAGCGCTGATGAAGATTAATGAAAAACGTAGGGAATTCATATTAATAACATGTTCGAAATGTGTCGTTTGTCATTTGATGGGTATATTATCTGCGAGGTAGAGTTACAGGTGGATATAATTGATGACTATATTGATTCCGAAGGGAATGAATGACATGTAAAGTTCTGGATAAAGAGGAGATTTAATCTCCAATAGGAATGAATAAAAACATTGTTAGTTGACAGCTAATGATTTGGTTGTCAACAAAGCAAAATATCAAGCAGGATCTTTCCAGAACATTGTATAAAATAGGGATACACGATAACTTTCCGGTCGGTGTAGACCATTTATTTTTTTAATGTACCCATAACATGCAGAATACTGACTATAATATATTATCACAAATAATTTGAGCATATCTTTTTCAAGAAATATTATAAATATCATGTCTATATTTAGTAAAAAAGTATGCGACATATTAAATTCTTAAGTAAATGTCACAAGCATTTAAAACAAAAGAAAGAATTTATTGAAAAATCAGGATCTACGAGGTAAACAAACTGTCAAATGTGGTGTCCGTCGGGGAAGACTACTGGGACCAATATTAAAAAATGTTCTTCGGTACTAAATTTGTTGTTTTTTAAACGAACGTGTCTTTAGCAAACATAAATCTGCTCCTGGTGGCTCACATCAAGAGTACAATCAAGTAATATAGAAAAATACTTTGCTTATTTAACTTTCGTTTTGAATAATATCTCCAAGGAAAGGTGGAATATTTTTTGAGATCTATAAATATGTTCAGACATGACTGGATCAAATTTTGCTATCAGTTCTATACATTTTAAAAAATTTCCATTATTTCTTTTATATAATTTGTTAGTAGGACCACGAAAAGTTTTGATCAACAAAAAATTGAATAGTATAAATTATTCTTTCAATGACACTGCGCCAATTTTTATTAAATAAATACTTAAAACAGAAACATAAATGGAGTATGTTAGAAAAAGCCTTAATTTTTTAACATTTCGTTCTTTAAAGTTGCATTACATTGTTAATTTTCATCCTCAACTACAACTATTTCTCATCGGTTTAATTACAACAAAACTGTTGATTAATAACAAGACCTTTGGAACATCTTGAATGAACATACAAATGATATATCTGGAACGGATATAACGGATATCTGCAATTCAATGTACGTATATGTACGCTGATTGTTAGCCATAGACAGGTAGCAGGACAAAGGACCAAAGCAGGACAAATAAACATTCCCATGTCGCTCTGAAAATGTTTGTATAAGGAAATCCTATAAATCATCGCCCATTTGGCACCGATTTCAGAGGCATTTTGAGAGTAATGATTAAATGCACTTGTTGATTTTCGAACAAACATCAAGCTGAGTGGAAAGCGATTTAAAAATAAAATATTTTTTGTAATAAAAGGATAATTTAAGCTATTTACGACATTTGTAAAGTTTTTGTTATAATATTTTAGGTTGACTAAATGACAATAGGAGTACTAATGTTTGGAACTTATGAAAATGATTTTTTATTTCAGAGTTTTACAGATAGATTTTAATTTAACATTTATTTCTGTTTAAGAAAAACCATAGAAAAAAAATAATATTGAAACGGAATATAGGAGATAAATTACTTTTTTCTATTAAGGCATTTAGATTTACTATATTTATTTTTATTTATTACACGAAAACAGTGGAATAACAGTTATGGTTTTCTTATTTTTTAAAGAACATTTTCTTAGGGCAGCGACCCAGCTTAATAAGTTATTTTTTAATTAAATAAATCTTTATTGTCTTTTAGATACTATCTGCAAAAATGGCAGGTTTTTCTTCTGAGGATGCCTAGGATACCCTTAGAAAATTGTTCTTTCCCCAACCAAGACTCAAATGATTTATTTATATAAAAAAATGAATTTCTTGTAGATCTAAAGAATTCTTTATTTTTTTTTTTAAATAAAATTAAGTTACAATTATCGCATATTAACTGTTTCGGTATCTTCAGATATGTTTGACAAAAATATTCACCATAAATATCTTTAAGTCGACACATGGTGTAATATTTTCCATTTTTGCTGATCATAACACGCTAGATCTTCAAAAAAAAATATAAAATTTGTCTTGTCCTCATGACGGC